CGCCCACTCTCAGTCCCCCAAGATACCCCAACTCGGTGTCCTCGGATTTGAGGCTACAGAAGTGTGAGCGGGGCTGACGCCCACTCCCTGCCAACTCCACTAACGCCGACCAGCCCCCGCCACTGCCAGCCACTTCACGAGTCTCGCTCGGCTTTTTCGAGCTCTTACCCAGATTCCGCGCATAGTCCTCTGCTAAAAGTAATTTTTGGAGATTTTTCGATGATTTTCCGGTGAAGTTTTCGTGGTGCTGTCCTCTCGAATAGGGGAACCCGTTTCTTCCGCTAGGTTGAAGCGGTCAGGCACCACTCGAAAATGGCGCCGAAAGCGCTGAGGCTCCTCATTCAAATTCGTTAGAGCCAACCCCGCCGCCGCGGAGCATGCCGGGAACGCGGGCTGCCCCCACAGCTGTCAATACAGCCGCTCCACGCCCCTTCCCTAACTGGCCTGACCCTTTTGCTCATGCGCAAACTAGTACCCCAGGCTCCACGCTTTACACATGCGCAGAATCCTTAAACGGGGTTCTCGCTCGGCCGCCTCGGCCGCCTCTGCGCTTGCGTACAGCGCGGTCTGCGGCCGGCCGCGCGTGAGAGGTCACAGAGTGGGGGCTGTGAGCCCAAAGGTGCACACGTCCATATCAGTGGATAGAAAGGTATTCCACTGTTCGAGGGTAGCAGACAGGGGTCATCTAGGCCGAAAAGAACACCAGCTCTCAGCTAGAACCTAGACAGAACAGCGGAATGGGTTTTTGAGACCGTGTGTACAAACCTACAGGTCTCGCTAATGTATTGAGCGCTTGCTTTACTTCAACTGTGGCTGTGAAACTTCAGATCAACTTTTACCAGGTAGGTGCTATTATTTCTCGGTGTACAGGCCACGAAGGCAATGCTTTGAGGCATTTAGTAATTTGCTTTAAGCAGCAAAGATAGTAAGCACATGGTCTGGATCTGTTAGAGTCTGGAGTCTGAATCAAACCTGGAACGCACAAGAGGCGTGGTTGGATTTAAACTTCAAGTACAGCCGAGAGTTAGTGATTATTGAAGTTTGCTGGAGTCCTTCCTGGTAACAAGCTGCCTTTTAAGAGAGAGCATTCGTCGAATATGTTCTCACACCTTCTGTTCCTTAAACATTCTGCTCAGTTTGGGAGATGTGAAAGTGGCAGGCTTTGAGTACCACCAGTGCGACATGGTAAAATGGTGTGCTGAGTAAACTGGATGTAGCGAAGATGGGTTTCTGTCTTGGGACATATTGATAAAGTAGTATCAGCATGTATTGGCTGTATTAAATACCGGGCACTCTGCTAAAAATGTTTTGTGTACTGTATTTTCCTCTTAAAATACTCCTTTGAAGTCAGTATTATATCATTTTACAAATGAGGACAACTGAGGTGCAGATTAAGAAACTGGATCCAAAGGAAAGTAATTGCAAGGATAAGAACTAAGTAAAACTGTTCCTCTTCAAAAACTGGTCACAATGATAGGCAGTAAATGATGATCATACTTTAGTTCCTTTTTTTTTTTAATCGTTTTATTAGGGGCTCATACGACTCTTAGTACTTTTCTTAAAAACGTTTCATAGTAATTTATTTGGGAAAGCTATCCTACCTGCCACGGGGCTAATTATGAGGAAACTGTAAAAACTTCATTGCTTAGACTGGATTTTAGCGTTGTTGATGATTTTTGTTTTTTTTCACCTCAGATCAACAGTTTAGTATCTGAGGTATTGCTATATTTTTCAGTTTCTGCTGTAAAATTGCTGTATCTGGGCTGAACCACTCAGTATTCATTGTTGTTTTCCAGTGATTGCCTTTTCTACATACAGGTGCAGCATAAGCACAAGTACGTGTTCTGGAATTCAATTCTTGGCTGTACTGTTCACAACTTCCTATGCTCCACACAGTTTAATGCCTTTGCACAGTCAGTCAAACACAAGCAGGCATCTTTCTGGGAGTCTCTGTGTGCAGTCGCATTCCACCTAGCACATCTTCTTAATCCAGCTAGAATTTCTGGCGTTTCACTAGTCATGTGTTAGGTACTCTTGAGCACCTGACCCATAGCAACCTTATGCACAACCGCACCAAACATTTCCCTGTCCTGTGCCCTCCTCACAGTCGTTCCTATGTTTGAGCCACTGTGTCAAATCCTCTCCTGGAGAGGTCCTCCCTCTTCGTCTCTGTCCCTCCACTTTACCAAACACGATGTCCTTCTTCAGGAACTGGTGTCTCCTGACAACATGTCCAAAATAGATAAGATGAAGTCTTACCATCATTGCCTTTAAGAAGCACTCTGCCTATACTTCTTTTAAGACAGATTGGTTTGTCTTTTTAGCAGTGCATGGTACTTTGAATATTCTTGTCCAACACAATAATTCAAATGCATCTATTCTTCTTGGGTCTTTGTTATTCAGCATCCAACTTTTACATGCTTATGAGGCAATAGAAAATACCATAGCTTGGGTCAGGTGTACCTTAGTCCTCAAAGTAACATCCTTTTGGTGCATATTGTTGCAATCATTTTTTTAAAACCATTTTATTGGGGCTTGTACAACTCTTATTGCAATCCATATATACATCCATTGCGTCAAGCACATTTGTACGTTTGTTGCCCCCATCATTCTCAAAACATTTGCTTTCCACGTGGGCCTTGGAATTATTGTTTCAATCATTTGAAAATTATCTTTGGCATAATTTTAGTTGTGTGTGACATCATTCTATAAGTTCCACATTCCGTTGGGTTGCTTTTCTTTAGAATGGGAACAAATACAGAACTCTTCAGATGGTTGGCCAACTGCCCTCCGTGTTTTCTAGATAGAGACTGATGAGCACCTCCAGAGTTGTATCTGATTGTTGAAATGTCTCAATAGGTACTCTTATCAAATTCTTAGATCCTTGTTTGTTAATGCTTTGACTGTTCTCTTAGACTTCTTCCTTTAAAACCATTGGTTCTTGATCATAGGCTCTCTCCTATAATGGTTGAAGGTTGAGCACTTTTGTACAGTGACTGAATACCTCTATCTTCTTTTGATGCTACCTGCGCCACACAATATTTTGTCCATAGAATCTTTCAATATTGTAACTCAAGGCTTAATTTTTTTCTTCAGTTCAGTATGAGAAAGGTCAAGCATATTCTTTCTTTTTGGTTTCCTAACTCCGGATCTTTTATATTTCTTTATAATACTTTGTCCTCTTCAAGGCTTCCTTTCTGCTAAACTCTTTTATTTTGACATTTGTTTTATTCACTTTTGCTACTACTTTGTGTTCAGGAGCAAGTTTTCTAGTCTCTTCTAGCATCCATTCTGGTCTTTTCTTCTCCTTTTGTGCCCTTTCTTCATGTAATGGTGTCCTTGATGTCATCTCACAACTCGTTTGCTCTTTGCTCTTTAGTAGTCATTGCATAAAATTCATTCTTCAGATGGTCTCTACACTCAGGTGAGTATACTCAAGTTTGTATTTTAAATTTTGGTACTTGTTTTAATTTTTTCATCTTGATCTTGAATTTTTACATGAGCAATTGAGGTAGGTGCAATTATTACCTTCACGTTGAACAGATTAAAGGGTATGTAGTGTTTATCATTAGAATATTTAAGACATGCTTTAGTTAAAATACTATTTAGCGAGCTAAAATGTTTAAATAAAACTTCTAATTCACTGTAACAAATAAAAGCAAATAGCATTGTTCTTATCTTGTGCCTTAGAAAAGATGGTCACTAGTAAACTAAGGATTTCACATTTGACCACAAGGGGGCGCTAATTCTTGAATTACTAAATTTCAGAGAAAAAAGGGAAGGGGGCTTTAGTTTAAGATATCGAATTCAGAAATTGAGTGCTCCACAAGATAATGTACTTTATGGGGAAGAAAGTAATTATATAAGTACTCCTTTAAAGCAGTCATTTTCAGTTTTCTTTCTTCAGAATCATTCTTTTTCCACCCACCCACTTTGCATCTCAGGATAATCCTTTATATAATAAAGGAATAAGGTTGGAAAAATAAATTTAAATTTGGGATTTTACTTGCAAACTGTGATACAGTCATCAGCAAATAAGTAATAAATATGGGTAGTGTGGAAGTCTTACATTTCAGTGTGTTGTTCCTGTTGTTTTTAATGAGTAAACTATAGCTGATGCATTTTTATCTCAAATTATCTTACTTAAACTAATAGTACTGGGGACTTGAAAACTGAAGTCCCCAGGTGGCACAAATTGTTATATGTTATGGATGTGCTTCTGAAAGGTTACTACCTTAAAAATCTATGAAACTGTTTTAACTCTGCACACATATGTTATCACCATAAGTCAGCTTCAAGTGGTCAGCCTTCATTTGGGTTTCAGTAATTCATCTCGGTTACATTGCCCTTGATCAAGCCCTACCAGGCCTCTTACACCCTCCTTGCCACTGGTTTTGGATCACTTGTTGTTCCCTTGTCCCTGGGTATGTTAACATCTTATTTATTTTCCCCCACCTCCCCTTCTCCCATGTCCCCCCAGAACCATTGAATCCATTGTTTTCTCCTCCTGATTGCTAGATAGATATGCAGAGATAATAATATGCTCATAAACAAGACAGAGCAAAACAAAGCAACAAAAGAAAACGGAACCACCACAACAAAAATCCAATGACAGAAAAAAAGGCCTATAACTAGTTCAAGGTCTGTTTGTTGACCTTTAGGAGTGTTTTCCAATAAAATCTGATGGGGTGCCACACACTGGCCCTAAGGTCTATTTTTGGTATTCCCTCGGTACTTCCTTACTTTGTTCCCCTTGCTGTTCTGTTGCATGCCCTTAGCGTTTTGCCTTGGTGTGGTGGGGTCAGATCGGGCACAATTCCCACACTGTCTCCAGTGTTGTCCCCCGTAGGGCTATGGGTCATTGAGTGATGTCATGTCTCATAGTGGGGCCGGCCATGTGGTCCTGTCTGTGCATTGACTGCTCTGAGCAGGGATATTGTCCGCAAGCCTTGGTGAGTCAGGATGTGCTCCACTCTCTCTTCCTCCCCCTTCATTTGCTCCTGTGTGCTCTGATCAGACATGTCCCTCTCTCCCTGAGCTGTAGCTTCAGTGCTGTCCTCTGAAGTAAATTCTTTTGGGGGGAGGTGGAGCTGTCCATGTAGTTGGGTTTGGGGCCAGCCCCTGAGACCTCTCTATTGGTTCCTTGCTTCATGCCAGTATGTTGCATTCACATCTTGGAGCACCGAATTGAAGTCTGGTCCCTCTTTCTCTGTAGAGATATAAACAATACCCTCGCCTTGGGTGGAGCATAATAGTGGGAC